ATTTATTAGGCATTAAGTTAAGTGCTGCGTTCTCCGATTTAATTATTTAAATAGCCGCCGGCATTGGAGTGGAAAAACGGTTTAAACGCCCCCGGTACTGAAGGGTTAAAGAGTACTATTTGACCAAGTGCACAGTGCAGTAGATACCTCAGAAAATTCTGCTACCTGAAGATGGCCCCCTGTAGCTGAAACATGTAGCAAAAACACTGAATGTACTACGTATATTTTAACAACATTTGAAACATTTAATGAACATTTTAGTGAATTAAATGTGATTTAGTGTCATTAAAAATTTAAATTATTGGTATTATAGGCAGAAAACAAGTTTACAAAGGAGAACAGTTGTGCAGTAATGATTTTCGGCAAGCCCCAGTCCACTAAATTGAAATACACGAAGTACAGAAGAATAATATGGCAGGCTCTGTTATCCAGTATGTACGGGAAACGGGGGTGTGCCAGTTGCATGAGGAAAACACAAGATTCAGTTTTCTTGCAATTTTCACCCTTTTTCAGTCCTTTAATATTTACATTTTCACATTAGTTCGTGTGTGGGTGACAACTTAGGAGACAGAGCGAATTGATGGGTGGTGAACGATTTTGTATATATTGTTCTGCACTCACAAATACTATTAATCTGCATGCATCAGTATGATTGTAATGGCCCATACATGAGGGAGAACTACTATGTTGTGGGTGAATATAGGCATGTCCCAGCTTTGTTCTTGAAACAACGTATATAAAAGGTAAATTCTATTTTAAAATTATTCAGGTGGGAGTTCTGGATGCTTGGGGACTGGATAACAGGAGTTTACTGGACACTGTTTATATTGGGCTTTGACTGGGACCAGGAAAATATATTCTAATATGGGATTTGTATGGGTCAGGTTCTGTCATGACAGTGGGGAAATAAATATATAAGTTAAATTTAGTGGAAGTACAGGTCAGATGGGACAGAGGTGGCACCGAATCAGCAGGTGAATATAGACATTTTTCTATGAAAAGAGGAATGAGAATCATGAATTAGGTACAGGTTTTTTCAAACATAAGAGAATCAGATCAGTAGTTAAGAGGGTAGAGTTTATTAGTGATAGGATGTCGTACATAATGATAAGAGGTCGCTGGTGTGATATTGTTTTGAACATTCATGACCCAGCAGAGTATAAAATTAATGACGTGAACAACAGCTTCTATGAGGAATCAAAATGTGTATTCAATAAATTCCCTAAATACCATATGAACATTTTGTTGGGAGATTTTAATGCTGAAGTAGGTAGGGAAGACATTTTCAAACCGGATATTGGGAATTAGAGTTGCACGGAATTAGTAATAATGGACTAATAAACTTTGCACATCCAAAAATCTGACTGTCGAAAGTACAATGTTCCCACATCATAACATTGATAAATTTACTTGGACATCTCCTGAAGGAAAGAGTCACAATGCAATTGACCATATTTTGATAGATAGGGGACTGCATTCAAGTGTACTTGATGTCTGATTGTTCAGGACAGCAGATTGTGATACTGGTCATTATCTGGTGGTGGCAAAAGTTAAGGAGAGACTAGCAGTGAGTAAGCAAACAGTGCATAGATTTCATACGGAGAGGTTCTATCTCAGGAAATTAAAGTAGTATCTTGTTGAAATATCAGGTAGGTTCACAGCTTTGGAAAACTTGGACAATGACTTTGATATTAATTAAGCTTGGGAAACTATTAGAGAGAATATCAAAATTTCAGCAGAAGAGAGTTATTATGAATTGAAGAAGCATAAGACATGGTTACAGGTTCAAAGTGAAATAAATGGGGATAATCTGAACAATACAAGACATGAAGCCAGCAGGCACTTTAGGAACAAAAAGAGCGAATGTATGAAAGACAGAATTGATGAGCTTGCAATGAACAGTAAGCACAAGAACATTAGAGACCTGTAAAAGGTAAAGTTGTCCCTGTGCTTAACTAATTAAGCACTACACCATGGAGGCATATGGGAGAGTCCATATATAAATCCACATTTTCTTGACCCCAGCACTAGTTGGAGGTGAGAGGTCAGCTTTACCCCTGGGGAAAGCGCCCCCAGTACCCATTGGCAAGGAGGTTGGTTGGACCCCAGAGCTAGTATGGATGACATGGAGGAAAAATTCTTGACCCTACTGGGACTTGAACTCTGACCCCTAGGTTGTCCAACCCATATCTGGTCGCTGTGCTTGCGCCTATTAGAGACCTGTATGGTGTTGAGAATCGTTGACTCAGCGCCACGCAAATCATGCACCACCCAGTGTATACAAACAGAAGCCTGTGGGGGGGGGGGGCAGACAGAAACTGAGGACCAATAGGGGAGTTTGTGTGGCAGTGTGTGTGTGACAAGCAGTGTACTGTGAGTGCAGAGAGAAGAAAGTTTTGTGTTCAGAGTGGGCAGTGTGCGCCAACAGAAGATAGTGGTTAACCCGGATGGAGAGACAGACAGTTCTACATTCTAGTGAGAATGATAACACTAAAAGAGCGACATTGAAACATCTTGTCCAATATTTATGTTATAGTTACATGAGATAGTAATAAGGTGATGTCGCAAACTTACCCCCTCGAGGTCTTGTTCACGACATAGAGGAATAAATGAATTTAAGAGGGGTTACCAACACAGAGGATGAGAATGGTGATCTGCTTGCAGATTTACACAACATTTTGAATAAATGGCAGAACTACTCTCAGTTACTGAATATTCACAGGGTCAGTGATGTTAGGCAGACAGAAATCCATACAGCTGAGCCATTAGTGCCTGATCCTAGTCCTTTTGAGGGTGAAATTGCTATTGCAAAGTTGAAAGGGTGTATAAATTGCTAGGTAGCAATCAAATTCTGGCAGGACTGATTCGGGCAGGATGTGAAACATTATGGTCTGAGTTCCGTAAATTCATTCTATTTGGAATCGGGAGTCTATTGTATCAACTCACAAGAAGGCTGATAAGACTGACTATAGTAATTATTGTGGGATATCACTGCTATCAGCTTCATACAAAATTTTATCCAATATCCTTCTCTCAAGGTTAATTCAATATATAGATGAAATTATTGGGGATCATCAGTGTGGGTTTCATGTAACAGATCAAATCAACTATTGATCAGATTTTTTCACTTGTCAGATGCTAAAGAAAAAATGGGAGTACAGTGAGACAGTCCATCAGCTATAGGCTTCAAAAAAGCCTATGTTTCAGTTAGGAGGGAAGTATTGTACAATATTCTCTTAGTTTTGGGTACCCATAAAACTGGTTAGACTGATTAAAATGCCTTTAAACGAAACATATATTAAAGTCCATGTAGGTAAACATTTGTCTCTTATTTTCCTATCCAAAATGATCTAAAACAAGGAGATGCTTTATCACCACTGCTTTTCAACTTTGCTTTAGAATGTACTATTAGGAAGGTCCAGGAAAACCAGGTGGGGGGGGGGGTCATTTAAATGGGACACATCAGCTGCTGGTGTGTGCTGATGATGTGAATCTGCTGGGAGTTAACATTGATACCATAAAGAAAAATACAAACATTTCAGTTGACATTAGTAAGGAGATTGGTCTAGACATAAATGCAGAAAAAACTAAGTCTATGTTGCTGTCTCCATCACCAGAATGCAGGGCAAAATCATGATATAAAGGCAGGTAACAGATGTTTTGAAAATGTGGCACAGTTAAAATATTTGGGAACAGTAGTAACAAATCAAAATTTGATTTAGGAGGAAATTAAGAGGCAGAATTTGGGTAATGCTTGCTACCATTCAGTCTAGAACCTTTTGTCTTCCCACCTGCTGTCTAAAAAGGTAAAAATTAAAATATACAGAACTGTAATTTTGCCAGTGGTTCTGTATGGGTGTGAACACTGAGGTGTTCGAGAACAGGGTGTTGAGGAGAATAATTGGACCGAAGAGAAATGAAGTGATGGGAGATGGAAGAAAGCTGCATAATGAGGAGCCTCGTAACTTGTATTCTTCTCCAAGTATAATTGGAAGGATCAAGTCAAGGAGGATGAGGTGGGCAGGGCATGTAGCACAGTTGGGGGCAAAGACGAATGTATATACAATATTGATGGGAAATCCAGAAGGAAAGAGACCACTAGGAAGACCAAGATATAGGTGGGTGAATGATATTAAAATTATATTAGAGAGATAGAATGGGGTAATATGGTCTGGCCTGATCTGACTATGGCTAGGGACCAGTGGAGGGGCCTTGTGAACATGGTAGTGAAACTTTGGGTTCCATAAAATACTGGGAAGTTCTTGAATAGCTGAACAACTGGCAGCTTCTCAAGAAGGGCTCAGCTCCATGAAGTTAGTTATGGGAATAGAATAGAATGTATAAGGGGTAGGCCTTCTCAGCCCTTGCACCGCGACCTTAGGTCTATTGTGCTTCCCCTTTTTTAATTATTCCCTCAGCAACCCCGCGCTTCGGATGAAGCGCAGGATTTTGGACGTGGGGGTGTCAAAATAGTCACCTGGTTCCATAAAGTACTGATGTAATCTTAAATAAGCTAGAGCCTCACATTTACACAGGACATGAGTGGCTGTTTCATTTTCTATCTGACACCTCTCACAGGTGGGACTGTCACTCAGTCCCAGTTTGAACAGGTGTCCTTTGAGGTGACAGTGCCTACCACCCATCGTAGCTGGTTCCTGTTGAGCTTCAACAGTTCCTTCGCTCTTTTAGCAGAAGGTCCTTGTATGAGTCCCTTTGATTGCCTGTTTGGCAACTCCTAGAGAGATGCCACAGCCTGGTTCAGGTCCTATGAACGGATGTTCAGCTCCAATTTTAGCTAATTGGTCTGCTGCTTCATTTCCAGCAATACCCTCATGCCCCGGCACCCATATCAGTTGTACCCTGTTATGTTTGGCCAGTTCCATGAGGGTTTGGTGGCAATCCCAGACCAATTTTGAATTGATCTGGTGTTTGTCAAGTGCTTTAATTGCAGCTTGGCTGTCAGATAGAATGTATTTCTATAGTTCCTATCTAAATTCTCCATAATACATGTTTTAATGGCATATACTTCTGCCTGGAATACTGTCGTGTACCGCCCAAGGCGGAAACTAAGTTTCCTCCTTGTGCCATGGCAGTACACACTAGCTCCAGTGCCCTTATTTGTCTTGGAACCATCTGTATACCAGATCAGTCCCCCTTTTTCTGTCAGGCTGAAACCCGTCTTCCCTAGTTATGGGACTTTGCTGTATGTGTGCTTACTGGGCCACACTGGTCAGCCTATGTTTCATTCTGACATCACAGGCATGTACTTGACTTGTTCACAGATTGACTGCAGACACAGTGAATACATGACGACGAACTGGGGGCCTCTAGGATTCCTGGATGCAAGTTTGTACAGAATTATGGTATGAAATTAATCTGAATATTAAACACTAATTGTACTTGTTGCCTAATATTTAAATCATTTCGGAACATTTGTGTTCAGATATTCTGTGGCTGTGCTCTAACGATGTTACTAAAACAGGTTACATTTTTTTTAGAAAGGACTGGCCTTTATGTAGACTATAGTGGATTTTTATATTTTTTTAATGCTTTGTTCAACAATGTGATTAGCTCCGACAGTATAGTTTCACCATGCAAGTTGGCTCAGGCAGAATCACTTCACTCGTATTCAGTAATTCTAATTTTCAGCGTTTTTTTCCTCAGTCGCGCCAGGTTAAAGCCAGGATGGTCCCTCAAAATGGGCTAGTCACTTGCTTTTGCATGTTTTTCACCCTTAGATGCTAGGGACACATGTAGTAGCACTGTGCTACAATCCAGAATGTCATAGGTTCGATTCTCAATGAGATCACTGGATTTTTTCAATTTACCTAATTCTTCCAGCTGCACTAGGGCCTGGAGCCTTTAACACCTTCTTAACTGAATAGGCTGGGATAGATAATGTGCGGGCTAAGAGTTGAACCTAGGCCCTTTTGAATGGGAAGCAGGCATAGTGTAACCCATACTTACACATTTGGTCAGGAGTAAACACTGATATGCACAAATCTACCTCAGAGATAGAGAGAGGACAGCATGTCATAAAGATGAAATCTGTCAGGAGAGCTGAATGAAAAGTTGTGTATTGTTGTTGCCTAAACTATACTGTACATTATAATTATTTCGCTCATTTGTTTGGCATATATTTAATTTTGGACTAAAGTACAGATTAAAAAAATTGTTAAACGCCATGTGAAATGGGCGTGTCCTATGGCTGGAAGCTACGGAAATAAGTTCTCTGCATTATGATGCATGCACGTCTGAGGAGAAATCTCTCAGTATAGCCAGTAAGTAAATTTTGGCTTACATTAAATGCTAGAAGCATTTCAGTGTTCGAAAACCATCATATCTGCCATGCAGAAGACAGAGAATTGCTGGGTTTTTGGACCTTTAAGTTTTGGAAACCGGATCTGTTTAGCTCTTTCTAAGAGGCCCAATTGAGTAGATGTCTTCCTTCCTCGCCTGAAGACAGAAACATCGTGTTTTCTATTTCCTAGAATTCCAGATGATGGAAAAAGTCCAAAAACCCAGTAATTCTGTTATCCACCATTGTCAGAACCCTTTAAAATCTGCAGTACAGAAGCTTGGGATTTGTTCTTGTAAATGAAGACAAAATGTGTATTATTAATGTTTTTATTTTTGTGTTAAGGAGTGTATCCCCCATCTTGAGGGTTCTGTACTCAGTGAGTGCAGGTCACTCAAGATGGGGGATACAAGTTGCTGCTAAAAATATATTATTCTAATTTTGTTTTGTCTCTTTGCAGGTTGGGGAGAGCACAGTGGGAAGTACGGACAGCTACGCATTGGAGAGGATATGTGCAGAGGCGCAATGAAAAATGGCACGTTTCGAGATAGTGCGCACACTGGACTTCAAATTTCAACAGCAGCATATTGAACAAATATGCAGTAAGTTCTCTTTGACTTCCTCCTTGCATGTGTAATTAAAGGAATACATTTTGGAATTACAAAGTTGTGATATATTTACATGAATTCTTTGCTTCAACACATTGTGTATACACAAATCAAAGAGAAATTAACAGTTATAATTTAGTGTAGCAATTGTTTGTGAATAAAGTGGTTATGTTGATTTGTTTTATTGCTGATGAGAGTTGAAGTTCTTGTTGCGCACTATCTCGAAACGCACCATTTTTTGCTGGCACCCAGTACATATCCTCTGCAGCATCGATGCTCTAATAATTCTCATAGTCCTCCTGCAAATAAAAACAAAAATCTGTTAATATTCATTATCTGAAAAAAAAAAAATCAATACAGCTGGTTTTGAACCGGAAACCTTGTGAACACTGGGCTGCTGTGCTAACCTCTAGACCAGCAGGGCAGCTCATCAGTCAGTGTTGTTACGAGCCATACTTAAATTGTGGTTCTCTTTTAGCAGCAGGAGCCACATGGGCTTCGTTGCCTAGCGGTTCGTAAGTACCAGCTCTTTTCCAAGTCATCCTGTTTTCTTCTTTGTGGATTATCTCTGCTTTATCCCATTGTATTCTGTGGTCTGCACAGAATACAACAGGATAAAGCAGAGACAATCCACAAAGAAGAAAACAGCATCACTATGGAAACAGAGTTGGACTATCTCTGCTTTACCCCGCAGAATACAGTGGGATAAAGCGGAGATGATCCACAAAGAAGAAAACAGGACATAGCCAAGGCCATGTGGCTCCCTCTACTACAGCAGAACCACAATTCAAGTACGGGCTCTAATAACACTGACTACTGAGACCGGTTGGCATAGAGGTTAACACTGCAGCCCAGTGTTCACAAGGTTTCAGGTTCAAAACCATCTGTATTGACATCAAAACAAGAATAAATTTGTCAATGAGAATGTCAGAAGATAACAATAGTTTTAATTACTGCATAAATGAAAGCAACAAACTTATTTTAATTACCTAAATTCTAGGACAAAACTGAAGTCTTCACCTATCTCCTGTAACCTGTTCAGAGCCCCCATTGCTAAACTGAACTCCATATCCTATCATCATCCAGCACATCCACAAAGACAAGGCAAGACAGATCTACTACTGGCACACTATGAATTGAAAACCACATCTCTGATATATGGTACTGTACTGCCTCCATCTTCAGCATGAAAGATGGAGGCCATGTACGTTCTTAAAATGTCACTCACTAAGCCTTTTCCAGGCTACAGCTTAACACATACAGTGAAATGCTGCACTTAGCAAGTATTTTCTTCTGGTCATAACCAAATCCCAATAACACCACTGCATCACCCTCCGATGTTAGTGAATTTCAGTTTACTGTTCTTGTGGTCTGGCTCTGCCAGAAACTGTTCCTGGACAACCCATGTCATTGTCATGGAAATTTGATACTGTGTAAAAAAAAATTGTCTCATATTAAACCTTACAAGATTTCTTGATATGATTTTTCTGGTGAAAACCTTGATTTAATGTAAGAAAAGCCATTCCCCAGACATTCATTAAATCAGGATTTCACTGTATGAACAGAAGTAAAGGAAAATACAACTGTGCACTATCAAGACATGGTGTCAGCCAAATCTCCCCACTGCTCTCATCTTGCCTTTCTTTATGTGCAATTGTCCTAACATCTTTTCCCCCTGTAGTCATCACTGTCCTCGAGGTACAGTGCTACTACTCTCTTTGAAAACATCTGTGAAGCAGCAGCACCAGGATCCCACAAAGGCCCCACCCAATGCTACTAACTAGCTCAGATTCCTACATGGACCTCTTTGGGTCCCTACTGCAGAGGTGCTCAGACTTTACAGGAAGCCCTCTGCCATGTTGATCTGATCAGATATCTTGCAGTAATCTCTGGGGTTCTCACCTATGATGATGATGTGACATATGTTTAGTACTGGGGCTCCTCTGTAACAGTATTCAGTTCAAGCGATGAATGGTACCTGCTCACTCTCAGACCAATGACAGCCATCACTGGGAACAGCTCTTTCTTCACAGATGCCACGTCTGTCAATAAAGAGTGACAATTATATAATGCCTTACAGTTTCCAAATCCTATTAGTATTACTTACTCATGGAGCTGAGCCCTTCTGGAGGAGCTGCCAATTCTGCAGCTACTCAAGAATTTTCCAGCATTTTATGGAACCCAAAGGTTCATTACCATGTTCACATGAGCCCTCCACTGGTCCCTATCCTAAGCCAGATCTATCCAATCCATCCTCTCTCTCTAAGATCCATTCTAATATTATCCACCCACCTACACCTTGGTCTACCCTGTGGTATCTTTCCTATATCCTATATGCATTCGTCTCCCTCATTCATGCTACATGACCTGCCCACTTCCTCCTTGACTTGATCATTCTAATTATACTTGGAGAAGAGTACAAGTTATGAAGCTCCTCATTATGCAGTTTTCTCTAATCTCCTGTCACTTCATCTCTCTTCGGTCCAAATATTCTCAACACCCTGTTCTCAAACACCCTCAGTCTATGTTCCTCCCTTAATGTCAGAGATGAAGTTTCACACCCATACAGAACCACAGGCAAAATTATAGTTTTGTATATTCTAATTTTTATGTTTTTGGACAACACACGAGAAGACATAAGGTTCTGGACTGAATGACAGCAAGCATTACCCGAGTTCAATCACCTCTTAATTTCCTCTTGAATCAGGTTTCGATCTGTTATCATTCCCAAATATCTGAACTGTGCCACATTTTCAAAGCATCTGTTTCCTATCTTTATGTCATGATTTTGCCCTGCATTTTGGTGATGAGACAGTAACATATACTTAGTTTTCTCTGTGTTTACTTCTAGACCAACCTCTTTACTTGCATCAATTAAAGTTTGTGTGTTTTTATTTCTGGTGTCTACATTATCACCGAGTAGATTCACATCATCAGCGGAGACCAACAGCTGATGTGTCCCATTTAGTTTCATTAGTATTACTGTTCGTGATAATTTGTGAATGCTCTATAACCATCAGCATGACTTAAAGTAATGAATGGTGTTCCTGCTTCTAAGCACTCCATGAAAACATATGGGCACAAATGATGTAAATTGCACACATTTTGAACTGAGCTGTTTCATCTGACTATATCAACTTCAGGATGAACTGTCAAACATGCCATAATTAGCATCTGATTTGACACGTACATTAACTCCTCATGGATGATGTGCATTGGGGAGAATGTGCCAGGCAGCTGGGCCTCTGTTCAATTACTACATCCTTCATCACTGATGCCTTTCCAAGGGTCCGTAAACAAATGACTATGCAACACCTTACAAACTCAATACATATACAGTGGAATCCCCTATTTACCATTCCTTGCTTTAAGGATTTACTTCATAGGAGTTTCACTGTAATGATGTTAATAAAGAAAACTATAATTTTGCCTGAGGTTTATATGGCTATGAAACTTATATTAAGGGAAGAAAATAGGCTGAGAGAGTTTGGCCCCAGAATAAAGTGATGAAGCTGGAGAAAACTGCATAAGGAGCTTCATAATATGTATTCACTCCCAGATATAATTAGGCCAATGAAATGAGGTGGGTGTATAATATTTGTTGGACAGAAGCGAAATGCATACAAAGTTTTGTTCTGAAAACTAAAAAAGGTCACTTGGGAGAGCCAGGTATAGGGAAGAGGATAATGCCACAATACTTCCAATATAAAATGTACATTTTACAAATGTTTTCCCATTGAAAAATTGAGATGCATCTTATATTTGAGGTAATACAGCAATAAAAATGGATTCATCTAGCTCAGAACAGAAACCAGTGGCAGGGTATTTGTACATGGTAATGAACTTTCGGTTTCATAAAATATAGGGAATTTCCTGATTAATCAAGGAGCTATTTATCAGTTTCTCAAGAACAACTCTACTTCATGCCGTATGTTGATGGTGTGATAAAAGGTAAAGGTAAAGCTATCCCTGTAACAGGCCATGGAGGCCCATACACTTGTGAGATGTCAAGGCTCCCACATTTTCTAGACAGTCTGCTCAAAGATGGCAGTAAGATTGTCAGCCTTATGTGCCAGCTGCTCTTTACTCCCCAGGAAGATTCCTAGTGCTCATTTCTGTTAGAGGCTGAGTTGACCCCAGAGCCATAGCGTGGCTGGAAGTATTAAGTCATCAGAAATTTAACCTGCGACCTTCCAGCTTCTAGCATAGTGCCTCAACCAACTACACTATTGCATGCCCCAGTGGTGTGGTGGGTTTGTGATTTTGCATTTCCAAACAGCGTTCTCATAATTAACACTTAAAATGACACAAACCTTTAATAAAAGAAATTCTTCCAAGTGTTCCTGTGCAGTGGGGAAGAGGAACTTTATAGGTAGCTCCTTCCTTGATCTGAAGCTGAAGGACTCATCAGTGTCAGAGGCTGAGTCAACTCCAGGGCAATGGTGCAGCTGGAAGGATTAGGTGAACTGAAAAAAAAATCCGGCAACCTCATTGGAAATCAAACCTGTGACCTTCCGGCTTGTAGCATAGTGCTTCAACCAACTACGCTACTGCATGCCCCTAACAAAAAACATAATAACTGCTCCCATGGCAATTTGTCGTGAAGTGCAACTTGTGAGAATACAGTGCTACAAGCTCTGATTTTTCTTTAGCTTCTTATTTAATGACACTGAATATCAAGACTATATAGTGTCACATGACAGAATGATTACTGAATATGCAGCAGTTGGTAGAATGAGAAATGGCAGGGAAAACTGAAGTAGTCTGAGAGAACCCACACCAGTGCCACTTTGTCCACTACAAATCTCACATGATCTGACCGAATCAAATCCAGGTAACCACAGCGAGAAGCCACTAACTAACCATCTATGTTGTGGCACAGCCTGGAAGTACTGATAGATATGTTCACAATATAAATTCAGATAGTTAGAATTAATGCATTTTCAGTTCAGTTCAGTGTGAAATAAATATAATTTTCCACAATTAAAATATAGAATTTATCTATAAATGTAGAGTTGAATTATTTCAACTGTAAAAAATGTGACCCTTAAATAGAGGCCTGCCTTCAGAACTAGAAAATTCCCTATAGACATAAGAACCCTTTGGCAAAACTTGAAGTTCCCACAACAATAAGAAGAGTAACATTTTCTAATGTTTACAAACACCCAAAAGCAACACACTGCCTCCACCTTCCTTCTGCTTGCTACTAGCTTCTTTGCTTGGCATACTTTTTGACCATGAAGATGGAGGCAGTATGTTCCTCTGAAACTTCAGTAAATTCCACCAGATTACATGGTGCCAGGTCCCAAAAGATAGTACTCTTCAATAGAAATATATGAAGGAGGTGCAAAGAGATGAATATTTTATCGCATTTCTAAATTGTGACACATTTTTGAGAACTTACATACATACTGCTTCCACCTTCAGGGTCAATCATGAAGATGATGTCAGCATACACCTCAAAAACATCAACATTTCCCACATAAAATAAAGTGTAACAACCCAAGAATAGAATTAACATGAATAATTAAGTATCCAAACAGGCTCTGGGGCTCACCCAGCCTCCTATCCAATGGGTACAAGAGGTTCTTTCATCAGAGGCAAAACAGCCAGGGCATGAAGCTGACCACTCACTTCTATTTAGTGCAGAGGTCAATTATGGTGCAGCTATACTTCCACTCCCCGATGTCTTTGTGGCATAATGCTTAATTGATTAAGCACAAGGCCAGCTTTACCTTTAATTAACCAATGTGAAAGTCTAAAATTAGTAAACCTTACACCGGCTACCAGAAACATTTTAACTCATTGCACTGTGTGTAACCTAAAGCTGACTTGATTATATGAGTACTTTAAAAATAAACATGAACTGTATATTATGGTCAAGTGACTGGCACTCCTGCTTCATATCCTGCAGACGTGAATTCAAGCCTCAGCTGAGAGACACTACCCTGAGGTTGTCCAATTTCCTCTATTCCCCATAGCACACGATGGACAGCACTGAAAAATCAGCCATAACTACCTAATTTTCATCCGCCATTCAAGCCACCATTATCATATGATGTTCCATTTCTGTAAGTAAAAAAGTAAAGTAAAGCTATTCCTGTAACAGGCCATGGAGGCCCACATGGTTGAGGTTCCCACATTTTCTAGACAATCGGCTCATAGATGGCAGCAAGATTGTCAGCCCTATGCGCCGGCCGCCCTATACCCCCCAAGAATATTCCTGGTAATCATTTCTGATAGAGGCTGAGTCGACCCCAGGGCCATAGTGCGGCCAGAACGATTAGGTCAATTGAAAAAAATCAAATTACCTCATCGGGACTTGAACCCGTGACCTGCCGGCTTGTAGCATAGTGCCTCAACCAACTATGCTACCGTGTACCCCTGTTCTATTTCTGTGAAGTTGTTAAAACATTGTTGAACAGTCTAATAATCAAATCAGTATTACCTTCAGTGCAGCAACTGCTCATACTTCCTCTGCAGCTGGATGTGTGGATGGCCTGCTGCTGCCTTACTCTGAAGCTGAAGAGGTCTTAACTGATTCGTATGCAGTGTGACAGACCTCATGGGGTGACTGTTCACCTGTCATGGCAGTTTCTTCATTGGCATCTCTCCAGGACTGATAGACAACAAAGTTTCAATTACAAGCCTCAGACAACTGACAATTTTAATCCACTGACTACAGTGTTTTGCTATGTACATGGCAACACATTAACTTCTTGAAATGTAACATCAGTTATAACTCACAGTACTGAAGGGTCATGGTACATAACACTGAGGTAGATTCAATTTCAATTTAAAACTGGAACTGATATAATTAAGAATATCATGTACAGATGGCAGCACCAGTCAAAGCTGGGTGCTTTTTAGAGATCCTAAACAAAATACATGTTTACCATTAAATGATAAGTTACTAAACTTTAACCAAATGGTGCAGGGATAGTACAAGCTTTGCAATAACAGAATCCATCTTGACATTATTTGGCTCCGTATTGTGTTCGGGAGAGAGGGCTTCATGGGGTTGACATCAAAGCCATTTAAGTGTTATCAAATTGGCATACAAATTCAAGATGGTCCTCTGAGCTTGAACTTCTCAGCAACAAACCACATAATAACTTTTTTCCTGGTCCCAGACAAAGCACAACATAAACACATTACTTTCCTATGTTTAATGTATTTAAATTTACTGAATAACCTACAATGAGTGTCAGAAATTTCTGACCTTCCAGAACTCACACCACAACATAGTTGGACAGTGGCCAAAACAACAATCAGTGTTTACACCCTGCATAACCATAATTTTTGGTGGGCGATGTCACACTTATGTCATTTCCCATTACTTCCATTTAGGAACAATCTCAATTCAATGCAAGAAAAGCCATTTACCCAGAGATTAATCAAGTATGAGTTCCACTGTATGATCATACTGTTGCCAGACATCACAACATGAAGTCCAGGTTAGTTCCAGTAACTTCCAGACATCACAACATGAACAATCTCAATTCAATGCAAGAAAAGCCATTTACCCAGAGATTAATCAAGTATGAGTTCCACTGTATGATCATACTGTTGCCAGACATCACAACATGAGGTCCAGGTTAGTTCCAGTAACCTATATCAGATTATTTCATGACTTAATTTCTTTCAATTGTTATATTTGGTGCTATTTAATAATGTTACTCTTTTTGCCATTGTGTTATTTACCAAAATAGTGATATTCTATCACTCATGACAGGGGATCACATACTGTACCAAGAACCTTTTCCTCTATCATTCTGAAAATAAATAAAAAAAAAGTATGACCTTCCATCCATATGATGACATGTATTCTATGCAATGCTTACCTTTCAAACAAAGGCTTCACATAATGGTGCACAGCTGATGGGGGCGGACGGAGAGGAAGCTACTACGGGCCACTGCTAACTCAGAAACTCGACACTGAGAACAGCAATTTCTTCCCCGATATACCTCCAGGGCTGTCAGCAAATAATAATGATGACATAAAACCATACACAATCATAAATTATAATCCATTTGCTGCCCTTTGTTCAGGGAACAAATAAACACATTAAATGCACTTCCTTTCTGGAGGTATATTATGGAATCAGTATGAAAATTCAAGTAGGGTGTAATTCTGAATTTCCAAAAAAACACAAACCTACCCTATAAGAGCAGGCTGGCATGATGCATATCTTTACAAGGGAATCAGTAAACAGGCCACAAATGGAAGAAGCTGTAATGGATGTAACATATTTTGTTATGTGTATCACTGAGCAACAGCACAGTCCAGGTAGCAGATGTGCATGTGCATGTTCAGAGGCTGGTTTCAGTAATCAAAATGGTCACCGTGCTTGAGAAGCATCCTACTGAAGAAGAGCGTTCTGTTGTACCTTTTTTGTGAGCAAAAGGACTCTATGCAAAGGTTATTCCTAAAGAATTTTTTCCTGTTTACAGTGGGAAGTGTCTGTCACATAAAACGGTTCACTACTCTCTCACAATACTCTCAGTGATGTTAAAAATTGTAGATGATGCCTGACCACGAGGATAACAATAGACAATGCAGCAACTGCACTATGGTGTTCCCACAGCATAATGCATGATCATTTTAAGTTCTGAGAAGTGTGCTCATGGTGGGTGCCAAAAGAACTTAAGGATCAAGAAAAATGAACCGAATGGGTGTCCTTGCAACATCTCTTACGGTATGCAGATAAAGGATAATATGTGCTTAACAGGATTGTTACTGGGGAAAATCATAGGTGTATCACTACCAATCCAAATCAAAGTGTGCTTCAATGCGAAGGAAACATCCCAGTTCACCTTCAGCCAAAAAGATTAAGGTAACGCCATGAGGTGGGATGGGAAGGTTATGCTTACTGTGTTTTGGGATTCTCAGGCAGTACTGCTAGCCCATTTTCAGAATACATGGTGAAAATGTGAAGTTCTGCTGAAGATTAGGGATGAAATTCACAGAAAACATTCAGGCCAACTGGCAACAGGGGTACTGATTCATCATGACAATGCCAGATCCCACACAGCATGAGCAACCTAAAACTAATTCAAGAAATACAGTGGAAACCTCCTGAACATCCACCTCACAGTCCGGACTTGGCCTCTAGTGACTTCCACCTGTCTGGTCCCCTAATAACCACCTTGGTGGCAAACATTCTGCTGATGACAAAGAGGTTAAAATGGAGGCACGGAAATGGCTGAGACAACATTCAGGTGGGGAGGGGGGGGGCAACGCACTGGTAAAGCGATGGGACAAGTGTATCAGTGTTGGTGGAGGATATGTCAAGATATTTTTTTTTCAGGTTCAAATATCATAAGTTTTACATCTCATTTGTGATCTATTTACTGACTCTTGTACATGGGCTCCCCATATATGGTACATACTGATGGGACGGTTGACTTTCTGGGTGCTCCTTTCTTGTCCAAATCTGATGTAACTTCCATTATTTGGAACAACAGTTTCTTCACTGATGCCTATATAGGCTTTTCAACAGACAGTAACAATTACATGAATGTAAACTCTAATACAACTGGTTACTATCTGCTTACTGCATACAAGACAAACCATACATAGCATGTAACATGAAAAGTACTTTTACTATTCTTCGTTCTCAATTTATAAGCTTATGTACTTTTGAATGATATGATGACTGGTTAAAAGTGAACTGAAAGGACATGGAAAGAAGTCGTCAAGGGGAGATCTGAAGTTACTATCATGGCACTGCCTGTGGGACTGAGGGGGGGAAAAATGGAAAAATCTCAGACTGCACTGGTCTCTGAATAGATATTTTAACCTGGGATGTACTGAATATGGATCAAGATTAGTACACATTCAACCACAACATTCAGCTCCAAAATGTATCAAAATTAATGTGGCCACTTATTCATAAAAAGAAACATACTGTACATATGTATAAGAAAAGGAAAAGACAGACCAGGATTTTCTGAACATCCTTTGAAGAGAGGATAAAATGACAATTTACTCTAAATCTCATTAGTCAGACTTCTCTCATCTTGACCCAACTGTCTGACTGACTGTCTTCATAGTAGATGATGGCTCTATAGCCAAGATAGTGTGACCACTATCAGCAGAGAATGAATGAAAGTAGAGGGCCGTGTGCTTAAAGGATGCCTACTGACATTCATTTTCATGTCAAATCTGTTAACAGAATGAATTTGGAAATGTTACATATATCCATTTTCCTTCATTAAATTTTGCATCAATTATTCTTTTAAGACAGGTTTCAATATAGGGTCAACACATTAAGGCAGGGCAAATCACAAGATGAAAATTCTTAGGCGCAGAAGTGGTCATAATCAGTACCAAGTGATGAGTATTCACTCCAAACAATGTCACCTCATGAATTTTATCTTTCTGTACTTAACAGTGTGTACTTTAACCAATACCACTGCAATGGCTAAGCCATGGACTATGAGATCACTGGAGAAATGAGTATAAAACCTCAAGGAAAAATCCCCATTGGAGACTTGGGCATTGATGGGCACATAATATCAAAATGGACCTTCAAGAAGTCAGATGTAAATGTGATGACTACACTGAACTGATCCAGGACAGAATCCAATGATGATATTTTAAGAATATAGTTATGTTTGGATTCTATAAGAATGAAATCAAGCTCTAACAAGCTTAATGACCACCAAGTTTTCAAGTTCATACTGAACACCAGACTAAGTTCTGATTACTGTGTCATGGCTTAAGTCATTACCCGTCTCTCTTTATGAGGGTAATTTTTTAATCACTTTGATCACCTGTAAATGCCCCTTTCGGAGCATTTTCCTTAGAAATAAGGCCAGATTTGGTTAGCTTATGAGGATATTAAAGGGCGAGTTACCTCCAAAAGTTTTCTAAAATATTGACTCTAGTTGCCACTCCACCAGCAAACACATATAATACTGAAGAGCTGGCTTCAAATTATACTGGCAATAGCTATAGATCTACCAACAAAATGGGCGCGAGTAACTGTGACCTTATGATACAGGTAGTCATGATGCCATCCTCAATGACGATGGCCGAACTACGGGTGTCTTTGGTGGGGATGCATCATGGACCAGGTATGCATTGGGACACAGCTTTGAGACACCTCCTTGTGGTCCCGCTAGGCAACAACAGTCTCGGGGTCTGGATTAGTATGACCTACCAGGACTGGCAACTAAGTTCCCATAAAGGGCAATGGCATTATGACCGGAGCCTCTCATGAAGCGGCATGACTCTTGGGTATCACTACGGTCTACCCAGGACGAATGCGGGAGAGCACTCGTATGGGGGTAGCTTCAGCTACCTGATCTGTCTCCCTAGAGTAACGATAAGGTGCTGCAAGCCTTCAGGCTCAACACACTAAAATGGTTTCACCATGTTATATTTTAGTGTCCTGTTGCACTGATTTAAGTCCATGATTTATTTCACCGTCTTTTAGTGCATACACTTATCTACCTCACTCCTTTCTCCCGCACTACATGTTTCGGCACAAAAGTGTCATCTTCAGGTGCTTATTCGATTAACGTTAAACTAGTTCACTGCATGCCTTGTCTTCATATTGGTTTCACCAACCCATGTGGAGGGGTGGTAATGGGGGAGCTTATAGGCCAGCCCCAGGGGGCAACTCTCTCATGCACGTTTCCCTGGTCACAACCTCATGTCTAGCTGGTATCACACTCCTATTGATCATCTGGGATACCCCTCTCCCCCCGAACAGGCACTCTAGGTCCTGGAGGCTTGTGAGGGTCTTATTCATAACAGGACCAAACCACCTAAGCCAAGGTGTGAGGCATCGTGCTGAGGGCTGCATGGCACTGGGGTGGTAATTAGCCAGTGTCTTGAACGATCCCCTCGTGGCACTAGGCAGCACCCCGTTGTATTTATGCCTTCCACCTGTATGGCGTGCTGCGGGTGGTGACCTTTTAAATCCCTATGACTCGTGGGACCAAAGGACCTTAAACAGAAGATGGACCCCTCCCCAAGGGGATCCCTACGAGAAATGCTTCAGCAGAAGGCTGGAAGCTCTGGTGAACCATAAGGGGCCCAACTGCAACCAGCGAACCTGCTGTTGAAATTTCAGCCAAAGGCAGGGATGAACCAGTGGTTCAAAACCTGCCTGAGGTAAAACCAGAAACTACTCTCTTGGGAGTCAGTAGTACTGACATACCACTGCGGGGGCTAGTACTTCTAGCACATTGCAGCAGGAGAAGGACTGGGACACCTAGTCTCTGGAGTACGTGGACTCCACCTAGTGAAGAAGGCATTATCTGGATGCACAAGACAGAAATTAAAAAAGGCAAGAGTTGGGACAAGCAAAGCAGGAACTGGGGGCAGTCAACAACCAGGAAAATTAGGCGCGCCCAAACAGCAAGAAACCCCCACTGAAACCCCTAAGAGGCCAAGGTTGGAGGGCAGTACCCCTACGGAAATGGCCAGAGCTCTGAAAAGGCCCAGGGACTTACAAGGAGGCTCTGACCAATATAAAGGTAGCTATCTTCAAGGAAACATATCCTGAGGATAAGCTTACTGAAGAAGACTCCATTCTGGAAGCATTGGGGGAGGTGTTACGCAGGGGTCATTCCATGTGAAATCATCCAGAAAGGTCGCTCACAATTTAAAAAAAAAATAATAAAAATTTGTACACTTATTTCTACATATTTTCACACCTCAAAAAAATGTTTAAAAAATTGTGATCTGCTCGGTTCTCCCGGTACAGCTGTTTTTATAATGCGAAAAAACGAGTTTTCGGCTCAAATGGAGGTTTGCGTTATCTTCTGTATCTCGATAACTATTGAAGCTAGGGACTCCAATGAAAAACCAATTTGTTCCTCATGATATGGACAACAAATCATATCATTACAAGATTTTACTCAACTCACTTTCATTAGGTGTAATTAAGCTTGAAGCTTACCTATCGATTTAGGGAAAAACGCTATTTTTGACCTTCAGAAACCAATGGGAGGGGGAAAGTATCAGATTTGTGGTTTCTACCCTTTGTTGTTTCCTATATGGGGAATATAGTCACGTAGGTTGAACCCCGCACCAAGTTTCCAGATTTTTCCGGGAGTTTTCAAACTTTGCTCTGGGCCCCAAATCGGCTAATCCAAGGTAACACAATAAACCCAATAAATCATTGAAGGTCGCAGTGCGGGGGCCGGTTTTTATGGCCCACCCCTTACATACCAACAAAGTGTATGCCACTACAGTGCAAAGTCATATTAATTAGTTTATGGACATTATTATTCGGAAAATACGCAAGTGTATCATTGCACACGTGCCAAGACTAAAAATGACTAACCTGCACTAAATCTGTCGAGCTTCGTCCTCTCCTTAACCACGTGGCAATGATCCCGAAAATCACCATACCAGCTACTTTATAATCATTTCTTTCAACAGAAATACACTTAATTGAAGGCCTTTAAAACATGTGTCCATATAATACTATCATTCACACTTACCTGCAAAATGTTATTTCTACACCTTTTCAGCCTATTATTGCCATTACTTTTAAATTTTATTAATTAAACGCATAACAGACATCACTAACATCCACTAGCCTTTATATCTCAAAATGGCCACAACGTACAATTTTCCTATTGGTTGAAAGCGTTGAGTTTACCACAGAGCGCCACAGAGTACTTAAATACCTACCATGGTTCACATGAAACGGTTAACCTAACCAAAGGGAACAGGTTTCGCCTCTGAAATTATCGTGGATGAAGTGTCGTTACGGTCGTTACTTAGAAAAACACGTAGTAAGCAACGAGGCAATGCCCATACAAAATATTTTGAAAGGGTAATATCAACAAATGGTGGAGGAGAGCAATGCATATAGGATATTGGTGGGAAAGCCAGAAGGAAAGAGGCCACTGGGATGACCAAGGTGTAGGTGGATCTTAGAGAGATAGAATGGGATGGTATGGATTTGATTAATCTGGCTCAGGATAGGGACCAGTGGAGGGCTCTTGTGAACACAGTAATGAACCTTTGGGTTCCATAAAATGCTGGGAAATTCTTGAGTAGCTGCAGATTTGGCTTCTCCTCAAAAAGGGCTCAGCTCTATAAGTAATATCCACTGGCTTAAAATCGAGGTTTATTTCCTACAGCTATACCTCTGCTCCACCCATACGCCTTCATGAAATAATAATTATATAATTTGCCATTGGGACATTACATTTACTGTATTTTCTAGGTCAGTTTTGTAAATTTATTTTATATGGAAATAAATGGTCTCTTGACACTATAACTTACAATGTCAACACTGGCACAAAAAGTCAGATACTATTGCTTTTTTTAACAATATCCCATCCCCCTCTCAAATTAAATATGGATACCAGTTCTGTCAAGATTTCATGGACCAGTGTTACAGTTGGGCAAGCAAAAGCTTCCCAGTTTTGAGTAAATATGCATTGCTAGAGGTGCAACTGTGTTCTATTTATATGCATATAAACTTAAAAAAATGTAAATTTGTCAGAAAATATAGGAGATACAATGCATTTCAAATAACCTAATATACTAGTGTTTTCTGGTAGTCATGTTACATCTAAAGATGCATTCCCAATTTCATCTACAGTAATAATTGAAACTGAAATGGCTGAACAAATTTTCATAAAATTAATATTAACAGCAGAATCTTATGGGTTGTAATGCCATATAATTTTATAGAAGTTCACCAACGTTTCACTTCCTTATTTAGGGTCATGGAGACGCTCATTTCTGGAGAGAGAATGTAATTTTGTGGATAGGTACCAAAGTTTCTGAGGAACTTACCAAATCATTTTCAGGCTGGAAGTGTGCATACCTTTGTGAACTTAGTAAGTCAAGTGTTCTTTTGAACACTAAGTACTTAACATTAATCAGTATTATTTACTGCAGATCAGTCATGAATAGGTATAGCTCAGTCTGTATTGTGAATGGGTAACAAGAGTAAATTCTTGTCGAACATTTCTCTCCTCACTACCACTGCATGCAGATGCAGGTAAACTCAACTGAGAGTCACCTCCATTTAGGTTCAAGATTAAGAACGTGGGGACCTTGAAGTCCACCTCCCTATAACCATCATGGCATGGTGCTTGGACATAACAGCAACCTTAACTTTACCTTTGGATATTATCTTGATGAGTAGTGATGAGCAGCACCTTTTGGATCCATGCTTACTGTTGATGATGTCCTGCCTCTTCCAGTTTGTGGTATGTGCTCTGCATTATTAAATGCCCCGAAACATGCGACAATCCCTCCACAAAATTACTACCATTTTAAACATAAAAAACTAGTTTTATGGAAAGCCAAACATGCATCAAGACAAAAAAAATGTAAGTAAATATCAACATATGAATTATAACATCATGAAAAGTCAGTGTATTGCTCCACAAATACATAACAAGGGTAGTTAGAAGAGTAATTGGACTAGAGACTGTCCGCACGTTATATTATGCTCGTTTCCAATCTTTGTTATCATACGGACTGATATTTTGGGGCAACTCGGTAAATGCAAAATTGATCTTTAAATTACAGAAGAGAGCTATAAGAGCTATGACCCAGGTCCCAAAAACTAGTTGTAAACAAATTTTCAAATCATTACATATATTACCTCTACCATCTTTGTACATATACGAAACTCTAATATACATAAAATCCAATTTGAATGATTTCACAACCAACTCAGGATTACACTCATACAACACGAGGAAAAAAGGAAAAAAAGATGACTTGCACATCATCCCATGTAATACAAGTCTACACAAGGACTACTTTAACAATGTAGGATTTTGACTGCTAAATCATCTGCCACGATATATTAAAGTAATACCGGTACTATACAAGTTCAAAAACGCTTTGAAAACTTACCTACGTGATCATAGTTTTATAAAGCGGATGAGTTTCTCTCGTGTGAGACAAACACTAATCAATTATAATCACATAATTCATGAATAATTGGTTTTGGGAATCCCTACTGCACAGTTTTCCTTTCTTTCTTCCAGCAACAAAGATAACACAGTCGGAGATGTACCTGAATGGGCTACCCTGGAGAGATTGCAGATGCCAAGAAGCTGCACCCTGAACAGATGTAATGAGATATTGCAGTGTAGAGTCTACAGTGAAACGTTATACTAGTGCTATCACCAAATTCACCAATATTATCCATAGCTTAATCGGTTAGTTGCTGGCTTCCCACTGCTGTGGTCTAGTCAAGTGGGATTTGTGATGGACAAAGTGGCGCTGGGGCAGGTTTTTCCCGAGTACTTCAGTTTCCCCTGCCAATCCTCATTCCATAAAATTCTCCATAAGCATTATCACCAGTACAGGTACAATAGGACATATGGAAGCCAACGTGCCGAGGGGACCTAATATGGATTCCACCTCACACTATATGAAATCTTAACTATTGTAATCTACTGTAAACAATTTTAAGTATTGTAACTTTATTCTCTTATTGTAATCAGCCAATGTACAGTAACTGACTTGTCCTATATCATGTAACAATGATCTATAGAGACGAAATAAATAAATAAATAAATAATACGAGTATAATGACTTTAATTCTTATAATATAAATTCAACAAAATATCTCAAAACATTTCACAGAATTTTAACAATGAACTAGGACAAATCAGCTGTAACATCTTTGCTAAACTATAGTTCAACAGCAATATTACCAAGAATTTAGTTTACATAACTCTAAAACACTTCTAAACAGTTGCCAATATACAACAAAAACAGCAGTTAGACTATAAGTAATGTAAGGTCATCTGATGATGGTGACCCATTGAAACTTGTCATTATAATTAAGTAACATTTGTAATTAGTTGAATTATATACATAGTAGATCACCTATCATACATATTATTAGTATGAAACACAACATGACTCTTTTATACAATGTTTCATGTCTATCTAGGGGTTATTTGTATTTCAACCCTTTAATTACCAAGAAAATGGCAAGTCAAAAGAACCATGGTGCAGATTTAATGTGTGTGTGTGTGACCTTGGTGGTTCCCTGCCCTACCTGGCCTTGATCTCACTGTACCCTTTCCCTTTTAGTCTGGCAAGACTGTTTAGGAAGCCAGTGCACTTTGAGAGAAGGGATCAGCCAAACTGTCCAGACAGGACCAACCAGATCATGAGGCCAAGACCTCGGTTAATTTTAACACGTAACTACTTGCAGCATGATATCTGTTCAGATCATAGACCTTTTATTCGCCCAGAAATTAATATACAAGACACAATGGAAGAATCAGGGTTGTGGGTTTCTCCAAGTCTCTTAGAAGTCCAAGTAAGTCCAGCGAGGGTGCAGACACAATGGGTTTACTGTCTTCATATTCATAGAACAACGTCTATACAGGCAGACCTATCCCTATCAAGGCTGTAGGAATGACATCTGTATACATGAGATAGGATTCTGTATGTCACTGCATTCACTGTTGTACTTGAAGTAGCTGTTGCAGGTCCAAGCAGCAGAACCAATATGTATTCCTGCATCACAGGTTGGTGGCAAGGAATTGTGACCAGGCCATAGCCCAGAACAGCGCATGTGGTGTACCCAGCAATGTTCCGCACGTTCTGGTGTGAGGCATAGGTCCCACAGGTGTCGGAGACAAGCACTGCTGGCAGTATGTCTCAGGCTGTTAAGTTGAATTTGAGAACAAAGTATACAACCATCAGGTTGATCAAAGCATAGATTTATTAATGCTAATGGTGGTCCTGATGCAGCTTAAGTGCAACAATATAAATTATAAAATTATAGTCTTCTGGGACATGATGCCATGTCATTTGGCAGTAGGTACCAACCTACTGTCATCATTTTCTGGAAGAAAGGGCAAGCCTTGCAAGGGAACAAATGGTATTGTTATAGTGAAGGAAGAACAGGGATCATGGCTAGGAGCAAATGAATAGAAGTCAGTAGTCTACAAAGGATCATTTCCAGGGGGCAAACAACTGGGAGGCACAGGTGAATGGATGTGGATTAAAGACAAACAATAAAACAAAATAAAGATAAATTAAAAACAAAATTAAAGCAAGAGATATAGCAAGAAAAATAAATAAGTTTATGGTGGATACAAGAGAGGAAAAGAATAATATTTTATGAAGCTCCTTGTTATGTACTTTCCTCCAGGAGAACAATTCACACTGAAATCCCCATTTCAGGTTTCTCTGTTGAGCAGTGGTTTTGAAAACTAAACTGAGAAAAATCTTAAATAGGGAAAATTAACACTGATATGTAATGTAATATTGTAATGCTCAGACTGAGGAACTTTGACAGGGGGTTCAACTCTAACTACTCACAATATTTTTCAAATTGTCACTCGTAACTTGTCCAAGACCTGCTGACAACGATCACAAGGTTCATTGGCACTGTGCGCAGTGAAGCGACGACATCTGCCACAAAGATGCCGTGAAGTTTCTGCCAGCTCCACATTAAACTTCAGATGACTCCCGCTCTCCACCAGTGTAACAGAGGACACTTGTAGGATTTCTGTCAGCTGGCTCCAGCATGTCTGCACTTCCTCTTGAAGCATCTTTATTAACAATAATAAGAACACAAAAACTGCCTCATTCTGTAACCACCACATGCCAGATGAGAAATGAGCCCAAAACTTATAGACTGAGAAAGTTACTGGAAAGTCTCTGCTGTAAAAAAAGCTCAGTTGGTATAGTGATTGGGCTACATGATGAACAAACAAGAAATTTACTTTCAATTTCTGGCAAGAGGAGAGACTCTTCTCTTCTCCAGAGCATCCAGCCTGGCTCTGGGGCTCACCCAGCCTCCTATAAAATGGGAACCAGGCTCCTACTCTGGCGGTAAAGTGGCTGGGACATGAAGCTAATCACTCGCCTCTACCTTGTGCCAAGATTCAGAATGCAAGGAGCTATACCTCTACTCTCCCATACATCTTCAAGGACAACTTTATCATACCAAAGCAATTTCCTTGATGTGACCTATCCAAGGGAGTTCAATGAGCATATTACTCTGTGGTATTCATAACTGAGACACCACCAACAGTTTATTTGTTCATATTGTGGTTTTCTCCGAAGTGACACTGTTTAGTCTGGTAGGTGGTTGCCAACATTTCAGAGGAACATACTGTCACGTGTTGGGTGTTTGTAACATGACAAATAACTTTACGCCGTTTTGGAATCTAGTGAATTTATTCCACCCTCGCTCTCACAGTTACACAATTCACAATTCCCCAATTACTGCAATCTACAGTATCACACTGACTTCCCCTGCTGGAGTCACTGCCATTCAATCGCTACAACTGAACCTGGCGACTGATAGACTTCAAATATCTTTGGCGGCTGCTATATTTTAACTCACTCCTTACGCATTGCAGTCTCCCTCATAAACCCTCAGTTTGACAGTGGAATACTCCCATTGCTTCACTGTTGCGTAAATACTGTGTTTACAGGCGTTGCTGGGCAACACTGCCGAGAGTTGTTGTTTATTGCTGCGTAGCAACCAGCGCGCTTCGGTTCGGCTCACTTCGGCTCTACTCAGCATGACATGGAGAAACGCCACTTTCCTTACTGTTGCGTAACTTGGTAACTGACCATTTATCAAGGGTCTGTCTTTGTGGTAACTTGTTCCACCTCCCGTTGCCCAGCAATGGTTAGACATGTCACAATACTGTCTTTATCTTCAGATATTCTACCCCTACAGCCCTAAGAGAAAGGGAGACATACTGTTTATTTATTTATGGTACTGTCAGAAGCTCAAACTTTTTTCATCAAATTATGAAATCTTTAATGAAAAATGAATTGAATATGATGAGGAAAGGGTGGTCATGGGCCACTTTTGAGGTATCATCCCAGAACTTGACCAGAGAAACTGAGGAAAACCATACAAAACATTGGTGAGGACAGATGATCTCTGGGTTCAGATTTAAATTCTTGACCTCCAGTATAAGAAGTGCTAACCTTTCAACTGTTATGTTCAGTGAAAAACGTCATACCTGGGTGTCCATGTAACACATTTAATAGAAGTTCTTGTGGAACACTTAAATATTTGAAGGAACAAGGGTAAAATTTAAAACATCTGACTAGCTGAAATGGAAGTACCATACCTTCAACAGAGTAAGGGTCTCTCCTGATGAGAACACAGTCGCTGCCAACTGCTGAGTGTTTGTGACAGGAGACATTTTGTTCAGTGTCTGTTTCACCTCTAGAGCCAAATTCATTATGTCCTCCACCTCGGGCTGGTACCACTTAGGTGATGGTTTCACCACTCCTGACTTAAATAGGCGCACACCTGTAAAAGCCATCACACATCCACACACAGATAAAACCAATCTAGTCAACTATAGTACTCAATAACACACTAATTAATTAGTAAACAGTTCCATTAAAGGACCTGGGCCTCCCCCTCCTGATGATACAGAATGGATCTGTTCCAGAAAATGTTTCAATATCACAACATTTCATTGTGTAAACCCTGCTTTCCAATGACTCCTGTGTTTCTTTAGTGGGTTATTTAATGATGCTGTCAGTATCAAGAATATAAACTATATAATGTTGGATGACTAGACAAGCGATCAGCTAGAAAAGACTTTGGAAGGAAGCAGTCATGGCTTAGTCAAAAGTACTATCCTGCATTCATCTGGGGGACTGAAGAAAACACAAAAACCTCAGTCAGGACAGCCAGGATCCTGACAGATTTGAACTGAGCACCTGCCAAATACAAGTCTGGAGCACTACTACTAGACCAACCTGTTCGGTGACTCCCGTCCTACAGAAAATGTTTTGGTCCACACTTGTAGAGAGAACATATATATTTTGCCCATCAGAAACAACAACAGGTATATTTTCCATTTTAATATTATCCATCTACCTATGCTTTAATCAGGAGCTTATGCTTTACTTAGATGTAACTAACCTGCTTTACAAGCGACCTCTGTAGTCTAGAGGTAACGTTCCCACCTCATGACTCGTAGTACGCGGGTTCAAATACCCAGCGGAGGTCGTCGAATTTTTAAGGGCGGAAAAATTCAGGGAACAAGTCCTCCGGAAGGGACTTTAAGCTGTGGGTCCCGTGTCGTAGCTTTACGGCACCTAAAAGAACCTCATATCTCCAAAGGAGGTCACTGAGCCAAATTACGGACGTTTCCTGCCCAACAGCAGTCTCTAATACCTCTGGTAGATGGGGGAAGCATTATAGATACCTCTCAGCTAGCAGAGCCGGTCTTGCTGGCTGGGCGGGACTGATGGTAAGCACCAGTACCGGTAGGATATAGAGACTGGTAGAAATCATAGAGGGAAGCACAAGGGACCAATACAGGTCTAAGTGCATGGGAAAACCCACCCTCTCCAATAACTAACTAACCTGCTTTACAAGGATGATATAAGTACACTTCTTCTGCAAGATGTGGCAACACAGGTGCAACTGTTCTAGTTAAGGTTTCCAGGATGTGATTCATCACCAGCTGGCATGCCCGTCGCTCTGGGGCATTAACTGCTGCACAGTATAACCTGGGTAAAAGATAAAGTTGTCCCAGTGTGTAACTATGTAATTAAGCGCTATGCTATGAAGACATATGGTGGAGTGGAGGTACAGCTCCACCTTTCTGGACCTTGGCACTAGATGGAGGTGAGTGGTCAGGTTCACACCCCAGAGAAAGAGCCCCAGATACCCACTGGATAGGAGGCTTGGTGGGCCCCAGAGTCAGTCCAGATGCTGTGGAGAAGAGAAAATTCTTGCACTGCCAGGAATCGAACCTGGGCCATCCAGCCCATAGCCCATAGCCATACCGACAGAGCTGTCCTGACTACTAGTATAACCTGGGGGACACAAGAATTTAAATGTGGCATGTTGCTAACCACTTCTTCATCATTCCTGTATAATGAACTGGAAAGAAGCAATCATAGCCTAATCCAAGTACTGTCCTGGCATTTGCCTGGAGGGACTGAGGAAAACCATGAAACACTTCATTCAAGACAGTCAGTGTGCCAACCAAGAATTGAATCAAGCACCCCCAGAATGCATGTCTGAAGTGTTACCTCAAGAACATCCTGTTCAGTTTTTACATGTTTCATGTGATTCTTATAATAAATAGCAATTATTTCTTTGTACATCATTAACCAGTGGGATGCAGCATGTTTCCTGTGAGGTAAGAACTGAAATTTTAACACTTTGCGGACCAGCAATTTAAATATTTAAATCACCCTGGGGACTGGCATTTTTAAACCTACTACCCTAACTTGTGCACTGTTCACTTTAAAAATTAATATAAAATCTCCTAATTAATTTTATGAACTAATTTTTTTGGAGAACACTTACCAATGCTCCTAGAAGTGCTTGAGAGTGTGATATTTCTGGAAACATTCCCCTTTGTGAAGTGTCATTACAAAGAACTTGCACATGTAGACAGTCATACTCCTTTTGTTGCGTACTGTGCAAACACGGCATCGCCTAGAAGGCTGCTTCCCCTTGGCATGTTCACTCTTCACAATTTTCACGACGGTATGTTTCCACATATCACCCGAGAGTCACCCAGGGGGGTAAAAATGAGGCCTGCATGGGGTGGGAGTAGACGGCCCAGGTCGTACTAAGACTGTGTCTGCCACCGGTTCTGCCGCCACCGTGTGGTCTGTAGCCCATGCTTTTGCCACATTCAGCAGAAATGCCTTGTATTTCAATTTTGAATGAGGGTTTAGATTTTTGAAAACCAAAAATGAATTGAAAATGGCACAATTTATAAGCCACAAGGCAACTTTCTTTGTCCA